CATTTCTGTCCCTTGCCCCAGAGGTGGGAATGCAGGACTCCCAGAGCTGTTTTTTTGGTTGGTTGGTTGGTTTTAGCTGTGCTGTTTCATCTGAGGTTGTGCTGTAGTTTGTCATAAAAATCTTTTACTAGGAGCTCGCTTTATTTTATCATGTTCACATAGTCTGATTTTAACTTTTGCTCCAGTTTCATCAATCATGTAGCAAGCATTATTTTAATATAAAAAGTAGACAGTCCGTATTAGTTACTGTATTAGCAATTGTGTTATGCAACTTTATACTAGTTATGGTCCTGAAGAACACTGAAAATCTATTACGCGTATCAATGTCTTTGAGACAGAGGACATCACTCTTTTGGCTTAAGTGCTTGATTGTTTGCTTACAGAGGATCTGTGACTCTGTTCTCACAGAGCTCTGTTGTCGGATTAGCTACAATGTTAACAAGTTCCTGATCTCCATTATAAGGCCGTAATCTTCCAAATAATATAGAAAAGGGGAAAAGGGTAATAAATTGCATAATTAGAGATGAGCCCTGTGCTACTGAGAAAATAAAACTGTCAACAAACAATTCGCTACATTTTAAAATTTTCTGTAAGTTTTATTAGTATTCACCATGCATTCCTCTGTATTATCACACTAAAGATAGGCATCAATAACACCCATTCAACAAATTTAAGAAACTCAAAACCTAGAAGTACAGAGTTTTCAACTATATTGGTGTCAAGAAGTAAAACAAGATGAAAATAGAAAAAGGTTCACCTTAAAAGGCTGTGTGCAACTGTAAAGCAACACTTTGGTAGAGGAGATGCATAATTTCCTAGGAAGACATAAATGACGGAAAGTGACATATGGCGAAATTTAAAATGTTAATTGAACAATATCAAGTAAGAATGGAAAAATGATATCTTAAATCCATAATTTAAAAAGTACTAGGGTTGCATGAAAGATAATTCCAATGTTATTTAAATAATCAGAAATTTTTTTAAAAGGAAAAAAACTGCCCAGCCGGGCGTGGCTCAGCGGTTGAGCGTCGACCTGGGATGCAGGCGATTGGGGTTCGATTCCCGGTCAGGGCACATGCCCGGGTTGCGGGCTCGATTAATGACTCTCACATCATTGATGTTTCTATCTCTCTCTTTCCCTCTCCCTCTCTCTGAAATCAATAAAGATATATTAAAAAAATAAAAATAAATAAATAAATAAAGGGGAAAAACTTCCCAATTTTTTCATTTGGCTAGTATAACATTAGTATAAAAAGCTGATAAAGAAACACAAGACAATCCCCCCTTCCCCTATAGACCAGTGTCGCTTGTACACATGGATGAAAATACTAAATAAAATTGTGGCACCATAAAACAAACAAAGGCTAATACACGATGGAAAAGAGGATTGTCTTCCAGAATTCAAGTGTTTTGATCTCAGTAAAGCTANTATAACATTAGTATAAAAAGCTGATAAAGAAACACAAGACAATCCCCCCTTCCCCTATAGACCAGTGTCGCTTGTACACATGGATGAAAATAATAAAATTGTGGCACCATAAAACAAACAAAGGCTAATACACGATGGAAAAGAGGATTGTCTTCCAGAATTCAAGTGTTTTGATCTCAGTAAAGCTATCAACACAATCACTTCCATAAATAATGAAAGAAAATATATCAAAAGCTGCTAGAGAGGTTATTGCTACGATTCAATAGTCATTCATAATGAAGATTCTTGAGTAAAATAGACATTGAAGGAAACTAAACAGAATGAAGACTATAAAAAGCCTACAAGTGTTGATAATCATAAACTTCTAATTAAAACCAGAAACTAGCAGGAATGGTTAATGTTTTTTAATGTTAAAATTTATTTTGAAGGATCCAGTGAGTGGCTGACAAGATTAAAAAATGAAATAATCAGTACAAATATAGGAAAACAGAAAACTTTTTGTTGATATTATACACCTAGGAAACCAGGGCGATGAGGAAAAACAATTACAGGGGGATTTTAGTAAAGTATTTGGAAACAAGATGAAGATACAGATTTTAATAGCAATAAGCAGTTTGAAATGCTAATGGAAAAATATTTCATTCAAAATAGCAAAAGAAAAATACAATAAATAATGGGAAAATAAATTTACCAAAAAATGTACAAGACTCATAAGAAAGAAAAAAAACTATAAAAATGTTACTAAAAGCAATTAAGATTTAAAAGCATGGAAACATATTATTGTAAAAATATGTCTCAATATATAAATTCAATAAAATTCACATTAGAACCAAAAGAGCATTTAAAAATTGGATTAAGTAATCTTAAGATTCATATAGAAGCATAGTCAAAAAATTCTACAAACAAAAGACAATTGAGAGGATATTTTACTCACCAGATATCAGCACATACCATAAAGCCATTGGAATGAAGTCAATTAATATAATAAAAATAATTGTATTAAATAAGAACAAACAAGAGAGCCCTGGTTGGTATGCTCAGTGGTCAGAGCATTGGCCCTCGCACAAAAGGGTCTCTGGTTCGATCCCCGGCCCTGGTCAGGGTGCGTGCAGGAGGCAACCAATAGATGTGCCTCTCTCACATCAATGTTCCTCCCTCCCNGGACAGTTTTGTGAGATGAGAAAAGGGCATTAAATCTGAAATATCCAGAAAAGAAGATTAAGATGACTAAATTGTAGAACACTGAAGGCCATGTTTAATTCATTTTTTAAAAATATCCATGACACTTGGGACTGCGTGGCACAGAAGAGACTCTCAGTAGAACATTTGCAGAGTCAGGGGCATCTGTTCCACAGAGAGAAGGTTGTTGCTTGTGCTCTTTAGGCTGGTCTGAAAGAGATACCTGGCCAGCTAGACACCCTCTAGATGCTACCTTCAGGTCCTCCCTTACCTTCAACTCAATTTGCACTCTTGGCCAGACTTGAGAGGGAGATAGAGAGAACTGGGATTTAGGATAGCATGTTGACCAGCTTCCTTCATTCCCACTTCTTCCCTCCCTCCCTCCTTCCCTCTCTAAAAAATCAATGGAAAAAATATCCTCGGGTGAAGATGAACCAGAAAAAAGCATAAACAAGATAGAAAAGCATTTAGACTGTAGATATAGATAAAACTTTAATATATGATACATATGCTGTTCAAAGAGAAAACAAAATTGGATTTCCAGTTTGCACTAAAAGCTTTGATGTGACACAAAATAATTTTAAAAAATTTAAAAAAAAATCATTTTAAAGAGAAAGTGGGGAGATAGTAGAGGGGAAGAGAAAATACAAGACTAAAGAAAGGGAAGACCTATGTGGCAATAATTAACATTTATGTAACGAAAGAGAAATGAAGTCAAATATTATTACATAATAAATATGGGGGAAATTGCAATGCGGTTTGCAGACAAAGAGTTAACACCTATACCATATTAATATGTATTGTGTAATATATGATGATAATCTGTACATACAATAAGTATGCAAAAATGGAATAATGTGGACATAAGAAACATCCAAGCCTGTAGAGAATTTTTATGTTTAATTGAACCAATTTATGAAAATTCTGGGAAGCAAGATCTTCAATGCTCTGGAAAATGACAGTTTTGCACTTTCTTTTATGTATTTGGGATTAAGAAGGAATTGTAAGGAAGAGAACAAGGTGGAGAAAGCAAGGCAGGGATTGGATTACGGGATAGTTAAGATTATGTGCTCTCCTGAGAATAGTTAGCTCCAGAGGCGTCTGAAAAAGAGCCATTTCAAAGGTGTAACCTAGAAGCACAAAAACAATGGGCCGGGCTTGCTGAAGGTGAAGATAACCCTTTCATAGGCCTGGGGGAGACTACCCACCAGGACCTGCCTAGCTAGGGATTTATGATCAGATCACCCTGTAAAGTTACTTTTGGTAATATTTATTACAGATCCCTTGTTGTTGTCCCCAGTGGTGAGAAATATGAATTGTTACAATCTTTTTAGAAAACAATTTGATAATATTTGGGAAAAAATATATTCTTTGTCATAGAAATCCTAAAGATCGGTATACATGAATATGTGCATTTTTTAAACTCATGACATTTATCTTAGTGGAAAACACAAATTAGAGTCATATTAGTTGACTCAGTATTTCTATGAAGTGGTGAAAAAAACAAGATGCATGTTGAATCCCACCTCTGTGTGCATGTGTATATATACACTCTTACTTTGGGTGGTTGTGTGTGTGCATGTATATATGTTTGCATTACAATTTTATGAGCATGGAGAAAAATGGGGATGATATACTTTAGTGAAGATGACATCATTGGTCTGGGGAGGGTAAGTGGAGTAAAGATGGGAATTTGGATGGAAGAAGAGGGGGGAGAGGAGAGGAAGTAAACCAAAAGGAAAGCAAAAATACTAAATTCCATGTATGTTATTTCATTTAATATATAAATTAAACGTGTATACACTAAGAAAATTTAAAACTTTAACTGGATTTGATAACATGAAGGTCACTGATCACATTACTGAGAGCAGTTTTAGTTAAGTGGGAGCAAAAAATGAAGTACAGTTTCTATTAAATCAGTTTGAATAATAAACAGGTAGTAAGATAGCAGACTACAATAAACTGAAACTTTACCACAATACAGTGGTGCCTCGGTTTTCAAATGTCATCCATTCTGGAAGACCGTTGGAGCTCTGAAACGTTGGAAAACCGAGGGATCCACAGCCCACAGCTGGGCCTCAGGGTCTTGCCCTCAGCGGAAGCCACCGGGCATGTTCGACTTCCGAGGCGTGTTCGAAAACCGAAGCATTTATCCGGGTTTACGGCTCTCATAAACGGAAATGATCGTCGACGGAGACGTTCGAAAACCGAGGTACCACTGTGATACCAATAAAAACATACCTGTCTCAGAGGGATGCAGGGGGAGGGTGGGTGGAGGGGGAGAGATTAACCAAAGAATTTATATGCGCAACCCAAGGACACAGACAGTGGTGTGGTGAGGGACTGGGGAGGGGGTGGGGCGGCGTGGAATGGGTCAGTGGGGAGAAAAAGACACCTGTAATATTTTGAACAATAATAAAAAATACCTAAAAAATGAGTATAATAAACGATGGTGAGTGGAAAAAAGGGAGAGTCAGGACGTTACATATATAAGGCCCCCGGGGTTGTTTATTCACAGGAGGCTGAGACCCATTAGCTCAAAAGCCCCCGGGCACCAAATCAAAACTTTACACATCAATTGTAAAAAAATTAAAAAAAGAATAAAAATATTAAAAAAGAATATATGAGACAAATAGAAAAAAAAAAAGAATAGGAACTCTGCCTCAGGAGCCCTGTAACGTGGACTCCCACCTTGGCTAATTATCAGCTGTGACCTAGGACTGCTACTTAACCTCAGTTTGCCTAATGAGATCTTAAAATTCACACACTTGTTATGGGAACTAAATGATTTAATTCTTTTAAAAAAATTATTTTAAACATAGCACAGACAAGCAGATTTTTAGCCCTTTAGTGTATGCCTGCTTTACTTAACGTGAAACTGTGTCCAAAATCTGCCTGCCACAGATAAAATGAGCCTTGGGCTATAGAGATGATAAGTTGCTGCTACTCTTTGGAATTCTTGGGCCCAGAGACTCCCTGGCATCCTGCCGCATGACATCATACATAAGCCCCCGAGACATAAAACCCCCTTTTTATGCCTCTCTACTCCAGGTGTTCCCTTGCTCTCCTCTCCTGGATGGCGGCCCCTATGAGCTTCAGCCTCTGGATGGTTTCACCATGTTAGTGCCTTTGGCAGACCCGGCAAAGTATCGCCCAAATAAAGCTTGTGTGCTAGTGCCACCTCATGGCCATGTTTTTTTTCCTTCATCAGCCCTGAAATGTTCAAACTCACCTCCTTACATTACATAATAAGTAAAAATTCACTAAGAAGATGATACACTGATCCTAAAATTGTAGATACCTAGTAACATATCCACAAAATAAATAGTTAATTAAATTACAGTAAAAATTTTATTTAGAAGGCAAAATTATAGAGATAATTTAGAAAAAGATTAGTGGTTGCAAATCAGTTCCAATGCAAAATGGAAGCAGAGAGGAATGTGTTTGGCATCCAGAGAATCTAGGTAACCTCTTGTTCAATTTCGATGGTTTGATTTAAGTAGATAAGTGTAGCTTGAGCACAGCATCCAGCATTCAGTGGAGGAGAAATGGTGACCTGGGCTCAGACACCTCGGGGATGATGATTTGGGTCCCTCCACCAGGTAAGTGACTGAGACCAGCAGAGGTGCTAGCTGAGGGTGAGAGGAATGTAGAAGAGATAGCATGTGGATAGTAGAAGAGGGAGATTATCAGGTGACGGTGCAAGAACAGCTGCCGAGCTAAGGGGCTGCAGTTCATCCCACTAACGTTCTTTCATAAATTTCCTCACCAAAGTAACCAACCAGAATCCTGGAGGAGCTTTTCTTAGACGCAGTGAAATTATATGAAGCAATAGATCCAATGGCACAAGGGGTGGACAGTAGTGTATTCTGCGACGTATACAAAACTGAGGCACTCATTCCCTGCCAGCTTCAAGTGTTCTCTGCTGAGGGCCCACCACCAAATCCCTCTGTAGTAATTGCCCTCAGATAAAAGGAACTGTGTAGCCCAAATTACACTCCTTCCTGAGGACAGTATACATCCAATGGCTACTTGATGGGAATTCATATGAATTGTTGCCAACAGACTTTTAAGTAATATGTTGTCAGTGAAAGAAAAAGAAAACCTTAGATGAGCTTATAAAGATGGGAACTGTTGGTGAGTGGACAGGAAATAATGATCATGTGGGTCAGTGAGGGCCACTGAAATTCAGAGGGTTATTCAAGCAAAAAGCAACTGAGAGAGGTGCCTAGTTTGTATTAGGACAGCAATTCAGCCTTATGGATTACTTTAAATGCTCCTAGGGTATTTACAGATTTATTGAAATATAAAAATACTAAGAGGAAATTCTATTTTACATTGTTTTTATTAAATTAACTTCGCAATAAAAATCATAGAAAAGCTCTATAATCAAATCACATATTTATTAAATCCTTGGTTCTGTGTAGCCTTCACATATCTGTGTTTATTAATTTTTGTCTCGTGTAAGATAATTCATTAAAAGAAGCAGGCAGGTGATGACAAATGAACTTTTAATGAAGTTCTAATCTTGTCAATTCCGGTTTTATTTTTTTTGGATCATGGCATGCAAGTAGTTTGGGCCCCAGTATGTTAATGAGTAGAGCTCCATTTGGAGCTGTGATCAAGATGGCCAAAAAGGCTATTGTCATCACATCCTTCGAATACGGAATCAAGCTGGGTGAAGTGATTCTTGCTGTTTCTAGAGCCAGAGGACCTAATACAGCCTGCATTT